GATGGGTAGGAGGAGGAGGGGGGGGGGAGGGGAGAGGGAGGAGGGGAGGGGGAGGGGGAGGAGGAAGGAGGAGGAGGAGGAGGAGAGGAGGAGGAGGTGGGAGGAGGAGGTGAGAGGTCGAGGAAGGAGGAGGACGAGGCGGGAGGAGGTAGAGGAGAAGGAGGAGGAGAGATGTAGAGGAGGAGTAGGAGGAGGCAGCGGAGGAGGAGGAGGAGGAGGAGGACGGGGGGAGGAGGAGGAGGAGAGGAGAGGTGGCGGAAGAGGACGAGGAGGAGGAGGAAAAGGAGGAGGAGGAGCGGAGGAGGAGAGAGGTGGATGAGGAGGGGATGAGGAGGGGGGGTGCAGGAGGAGGTAGAAGGAGGGGAGGAGGTGGAGGAGGAGGAGGAGGAGAGGAGGAGGAAGAAGAGGAAGAGGAGAAGGGAGGAACGAGACGGGCGGAGGGCGGAGGGCGGAGGGAGGAGGAGGAGGAGGAGGAAAAGGATAGTTAGGAGGAGGAGGAACAAAGGCGGAGGAAGCGGAGGAGGACGAGGAGGAGGAGGAGAAAGAAGGAGGAGGAGAAGGAGAAGGAGGAGGGACGAGGGAGGAGGAGGAGGGAGGAGGGAGGGGCGGAGGAGGAGGAGGAGGAGGACGATGAGAAAAAGGAGGAGAAGGAGGGAGGAAAGAGGAGGAAGGAGGGAGGAGGAGAAGGAGAAAGAGGATGAGGACGAGGAGGAAGAGGAGGAAGAGGAGGAAGAGGATCCCTTGACAAAAGATTCCGCCCCGCTCCCCACATCCCTGCGGGAACCGCCCCTACGTTTCTTCCCAGAAATGGGGATCGGCTTACGTCGGGCGTGCTTCCCCACAGGCGAATGTCGGATGAAAGTACCAAATAACAAATCCCGGAAGATGTTCAATAATCGAATACACAACTGTGAGAACATCGAACAGGTCAACATAAACAATCAAACAGTAGATATACAAACAATAGTCCCCAAGCGATGGTTTTACCATTTTTACTATTCCTCATGTAGGGTTTGACTATTTTTACGATTCCTCCTGTAAAGGGACAGGCCCGACGTGAGGATCGGCCCGCAGGATGTACATCTAAGGTGCCGTGGTAGCGCAAGGCCTGGCAGGAAAGGTCCCCTGCGCAAGCACGGTTGTGTCCTTTTATTTATGTTTTTTTCTCGGTGGCGGACAGAGCTCCATGAAACTGCCTCATGTTGCGCGCGATTGGAAAAATATGAAACATGGATGCGCAGATAAGAGAGAGAGAGGCCACATACAAACATACATAACAAAAAACAAACGGAAGGAAGAGAGACAGAGAGAGAACCACACACACACACACGAGGCAACAAAACAGCGAAATGACAGCGAGCGAGCGGCGGAAAAAAGGAGACAGGAAACGGCGCGCAATGGCGGCGACACCGGCGGTTGGCTCCTCCCTCGGTTCCTATTCCTTTTTCCCGTCCTCCCCCATCCACCACCCCACTTCCGTATAATCAACCCCCACCGGCCGCCCCACCAAACGTGTCCATTGTCCTTCTTGCAATCTTACGATCCCAGGATGTTTCAATGAAAACTGCGACAAAAGCACAGGTTGAAGGCCAATCGTTTTCGAAATGCAGCTCTCCCCTGTAGCGAGGCGCGTACGAATCTGAAACAAGTTCGTGAACTATGAGGATGGAAGGCAGGTGGATGCCATCATGTTAACTTGTGATTAACTAACAAATCCGTGGGGGGCGCGCGTTGAAACAAATAGTTCCCCTGCCCGGGCGCATTGCGGGATGGGCAAGAAAAAAAACTCCTGTCTGCGCTCGCCCTCGCATTTTCCGTGCAATTTTCTGTCGGACCGATGCGTTTCCTTACGGTTCCTTTGCCCTGGTCGTAGCCAAGAGGCGCCAACTGCCTCGCTGGCCCGCGAGCAAGGCAGGCTGGATGAAAGGGGGGCGTGGCCAAGACGGGATTTGCCCCACAGCTCACACTGCTGATTTTCGAAGCGTTCCCTGGCCGAAACCAACAGCGCGCAGCAGGTTTCGCAACCGCCTCCTACCTTTCGCAGCCTTCCGTCCGACCCGAGCATGGCGGGCAGACTTCCTCCACCCCTTTTGCCGTGGTTCTTGTCATCGTCGACTACGACGAGGACGACGACGAAGACGACGACAACGGCGACGGGACGAGGACGAGGACGACGGACGGCGGACGGCAGACGGCGACGGCGGCGACGACGACGACGACGCACTGCGGATGCCCTACGGGGGGGGGGACTGCGCAGGCCCGCTGCAATCGACGACGGCGAAGACGACGAGGACAAGGACGACGACGACAAGGACGACGAAGAAAAAGAAAACGACGGCGACGACGACGAAGGACGACGACGAAGATGACGACGACGGCGACGGCAGCGACGACGACGACGATGCTTGACAGGGGGAACAAATCGCCTCGGATGAGTACGACCCCTATCGCAGCTTCTATGCGGAAGGAAATCGTTTCGAGGGTGAGATGCAGGGGGGTACACGATCCCCTCGGCGGCGCCAGCGACGACCCCCTGGCGCGCGTGTTAAAAAAGTGTCGCGCCCAGCGGGGTGTATTCATCAGCCCTGGGGGTGGGTCTGGTCATTTGTTAATCACAAGTTAACAATAATGAGGTTGCCGCGAAACTCGCCACGAACATTATTATTTTTCAACGGTCTGCAAAATATGAGGACGGATACCAGCTCGTTTGAACATACGGTATCGTCTGCGTGCCAGGCGCACACACGTTCGTGAAATAGGGGAGAGATGCACAGATGGAAGGTTGGCCGTTCACATCATTCAGCTCTCGCCTTAGCGCCGCGCATACTCGTCCTACAAAACCAAGACGTTACACGGATGAGTCGAAATTTCTTTCGAAGCAAGGGTCTCGTGCTTGCGATGTCCTCAATGTTGTTGGGCAACAGTTGCCCGGATAGAGGGCGGCTCGTTTTCGCACTTGGGCTCTCGCTGGAGGCTTCACCGAACTCATGTTCCAAACTTTGAACTTGTGCATCGCTTACTCGGGTGGGGGACAGACCCGTTTCAAAACAGAGTTCTCGCTGGACGCTTCCTTCTTTCGTCGTATCAGCCTCCCCAGGAACGACTACATGCCGAAGCTATCAGACTGCGCGCGTGCCGTTCGCACCACGAGGGACGCTTCCTGCACCGTATGACGCAACGTCTTTGCACATGCTATGGCTGGAAGAATGGAAACATGAATGCACTACAAAACGGGCTCTCGCCTGAATGTGAAGGGCCCAACGGCACACACACACACACAAAATACAAATGTGTACACACATCCCAAAAAGTTGTCCCAGTGTGTGTCCATATGTTGGGGATGTCCTTCTCCCCCCCCCACTTCCCATATTTTCCCAAACATTCTCGGGAATCGATGATTCACTGTGTGTGTGCTTTTTGTCCCTCCCGAGAATGGCATGCCCACTGGGTGTTCGCCTGGCACGGGAGGCGCCTCCCCCAGGGCACAGGAGCAGCAGCAGGGACCTCCGAGGGGACTTTGGGACGCAAGGCCGCATTGCAGCACTGATGCTGCACCTTTGGCTTACTCGCGCCCTCCCTCCTCCTCCTCCTCCTCCTCCTCCTCCTCCTCCTCCTCCTCCTCCTCCTCCCCCTCCTACTCTTAATATTACTAGTATTACTAGTATTGATATTCGTCTTCTTCCTTTTCTTCCTCGTCTTCCTCCTCCTCCTCCTCCATCTTATTATTAGTCTTCTTCCTCCTCCTCCTCCTCCGCCTCCGCCTCCGCCTCCTCCTCCCCCTCCTCCTCCCCCTCCTACACACACCCCCCACCCACAACAGCCTTCTCCGACTCACCTACTCCTTCCTCCTCATCCTCGTCATCCCCTTCCTCCCCTACTCTCCTATTCCTCCTACCTCTTCTCTTCGTCTTCTCTCCCGGCGCGCTACATCTATTGCTCCCTCCTCCTCTTCTCCTCCTCCTTTCTTGATTCTCCCTCTTCTCCTTCGCTCCCCTGGCCCTGCTGCTTTGGTGCAGAGACGATGCCCCGCCCCGCCTGCAAGGGATGCCTCCCGCATTTGCAATGACGGGGGGGTCGGCCTCACGGATTTGTTGCCCCACGCGATGCTTGCCGGATTGACGTTGCCTCCTCCTCCTCAACACTATCCCTCTTCCCCCCGCTCCTACGCCTCTCCCTTCTGCGCACATATTCCTCCTCCTCCTCGTCTACGTCGAGAAACCCTCGGGGAAATCATGGAAAAACTCCAGAGACCCCTCCTCCTCCTCCTCCTCCTCCTCGTCCTCCTCCTCCTCCTCCTCCTCCTCCTCCTCCCTCTCCTGCCCGTCCAGAAACCCCTCGGGGGAATCAGGGGAAAACTCCAGAGACCCCTCCTCCTCCTCCTCCTCCTCCTCCTCCAGAACCCCCTCCCCCGTGGGACGCCGCACGCCGCACGCATGTGCGGATAGTGGGGGGACATGCAAGCCTCTGCTCGCCGCCGGCCCCCCTTTCCGCGGAGGAAGGTGCAAGAGGACACGCAGTCCTCAGAGCTCTCCCAGCCCGGGGATCTACTGACCCAGGTCAATCCCAACCCAAGTCAGTCAGGCCTTGCAGGATCTCGCCAGCCCCTGCAGGATCCTGCAGGAGCCTGCACGCAAACCCGGGCAAATGCAACCCTGGCCCTGCAGTAATCTGCAAGATCGGGCGCTCTGGCTGACCCCCGTTTGCATGGACCCCCGTCTCTTGAGCCCCGACCAGTGGTCCTGGCAGCGCCTCCCGCGCCGCTCCTGGCGCGCTCCTGGCGCCGGGGAAGATGGCCCAACGCCCATCCAAGAACTCCGCGATGACCTCAGGAAGTGTACGTTTGTGCAGCGGTTTCTTGCTCGATGCTCCCCCTCGTCCTCTTCCTCTAAGTCGAGAGGCCTCGAGCCGGCCCCAAGGAGGCGAAAACCGAGCGAAGATCGATACGCCCGCGCCCGCGCGGGCAGAGCCAGGCGATCCACCCTTGGAGGGGCCGAGGGGGCGACGATCAGGAGCTGGGCCAGTGCTTGCCGCGCATTGTCCCGCGCCGTCTCGTCCTCGGATGAGAAAGATGGACATGTGTATATACGTTTAGATATATACAAAAACAAAAAAGGAGAGCGAGAGAAACTAATCAGATGTACATGTGCGTATATATATACATAGATATAAGCAGAAAACTAAGAATTTACTCATCTATATCAGAGGGCACCCGTGTGGGGCAATCCGGCTGTAATGAGTAGCGGTTCCAGTTCCCTGCAACGGTTCAAGCTCCGAAGAAATACTACAGATATCACTGCTGTGATGGTCAAGACCGCGCGAGGGCGGAGGTCTCACACCGCCCCAAAACCACCCCCGCTAAAGGGTTCTCACACAATTCTCGTGAGGTGGTCTGGGACCCGTCAAATACACACACACGCGCGCGCACACACACACGGCGCACCGGAGGCCACAACGCCTCGTAGATCACGACCCGAGGCTACAGCCCCGTGCAAATCGCACCAGACTCGCGCTCCCCAGGCAGGAGCCAGTTGCAAACTTCGGGGGGCGCGCAAGCATGGACTAGCGATCCATGGCTTTGCCGCGCGGTCGCCAACAATCCATCGATCGGGGGGGCCGCCCTCTCCCCAAAGTGCAGGCCGGGGCCGCCTCGCTCGGGGCGGAGATCCGCCCTTTCCCCATGGAAACGGGACCCGTCGCAAAAGCCACGCCCCCTCTCCCCGTCGCTCGGACGTCCATTCCCTGTGTTTTGTTCGGTTTCGTGCGTGGTTTTTTTCGCAGGATGGTCCAGGATGCTCCTTCACAATCCCCGCCGAGAAAAAAAACACACGTCCGAGCGATACCAAGCCCTTGCTCCAGATGTCTGCGATCGCCCGGAAATCACGGCAGGCTCGCGCTCCCGAGGCCACAGCCCTTTATTCGGCGGTGGGCAAGCCTCCTTCTCTAGCAAACCTCCCTTCAGCAGTGGAGCGCGCTCGGTGACATCCTCGCGGACCTCCGAACTGTGTTGTGCTTCTGTCCGCGTCTGCTCCCCGATGTCGGGCCCGTGCCGGAGACGGATGGGCGATGGGGGGTCGACGCGCCCCCCCCTCCCTCAGCCTATCCTCGGGTCGGGCGCGTCCCCCTACAATCGGCGGTGGACAAACCTCCCTTTAGTGAACTCCCCTCAATGAAAACGGCCCAGGACCGAAACCGACGGACCCGGACCCGCAAAATCGACGGCCGCGACGCCCTGAAAACGGCCAACTCCTGAATCGACGTGTCAGGGTATGAGGTCTGTCCACCCCCGAATTTTCTGCCCCCCAAAAAAGCTGCAGGCGTGCGACTCCGAGGTCCCACCCCCTCGTATTATTTTGCGCCTGGGTCGCGCTCACGGGGCCAGCAGTGAGGTCGGGCATGTCCCCCTACAGGCGGATCTTGGACGCAAAAATTAAACATAGCCAAACATGCCACAAAAGGTCGAACCATACCAGACGAATCGTCCCCATATCATGTTTTAATCATTTTGGAATACTTCTCCTGTAGAGGGACATGCCCGACTTAAACCAATATCCCACTTGTAAATTACCCAACGTCTGCGCTCCCGACACCACCATCAATAGTACGTTGCTTCGTGTGTGTGTGTGTGTGCGTGCGTGCGTGCGTGCGTGCGTGTGTGTGTGTGTGTGTGTGTGCTCTCCGAGGCCACAATCCCTCGTCAATTCCGTGGGACTCGCGCTCCCCAAGCCTCGTGTACGGTTAACGGCGTGGACCCCCAAGGTCTCGACTTCTTCCCGGGGGCCGGCTGTTCATCATGCGTGTTCGACGGCCTCGGGACCCAGCAGGTGCCGAGGGAATCCAGAAATCGCCGAACACGATCCGTGGTCAGTTTCAGAGGAACAACACACAGCTCAAACATAAACTGCTGATGGTCCGCGAGATTTCCAACCTCTTGGATCTGCGCTGGACGCCCCCTCCCTGGCGCGCTCGGAGCGCGGCGGGGCCGCCCCCAGCGCAGATCCGAACGACCCGAGGATGTCGGGGTCCTCCAGGTCGACGAGCCCCAGGAGCGCGCGGACCCCTCCGGCCGACACCACCAGCCTCCGGTGCGCCTGCTCCGCGCAGAGGAGCTTGAGCACGGAGGCCACCTGAGCGGCGCCGCAGGAGGAGGAGCCTTGCGCGCGAGGGCAGCGCGCGACCCTGCGCGGTGGTCGATCAGAGGCAGCCCAGATGGGGTCCGAGCACATGGGGTCGAAGGAACGCGCCGCATTGCAAATGCTTGCATCGGCCATGCACTGGCGACGTCGGCGATGCACCAGCGACGTGGGCGCGGAGGAGATCGGGCTCCACGTCAGGCCGCACCGCCGATGCATCGGAGACCCGGCGCGAACCTCCGACGCCACCTGCTCGGACCCCATTCGAGAGACCTAAGTTCGTGCTCTGGGCCCGCCGGCGAGGAGCACACTGCCCGCGGCAGCGACCATGCGCGGGCAGCTTGCGCGCCAGCAGCTCGCGCGCGAGCGTGCGCGCAGTCGGCCCCGCTGTTTTGGTCGACCTACGTCGCTCACCGTGGCGTCCGTGCGAGCACGGCGCGCGGGCGCCGAGCCATGTCCGGCCCCCCTTCGCGCCACGCTCCGGCGCAGTGCGGTGCCTAGCTCTTCGCCCACGAGGGCCGAAACACCATGCACCGCACCACTCTCAGGTCGAGGCTCGACGACGCAGACGCGGTGCGGTACACAAAAGGCGTCCGCGGACATGAAGGAATTGCAAAAAACAAACGGCACGAACATAAACTTTTGGCGCTCCGCGCGGATTTCTTGGATCCGCGCTGGCCCCCCCAGGACGGCGCGGGAGGCGCCGCCAGGGGGGGGGGCAGGCGCCGATCCAAGAAATCCGCGCGGAGCGCCCAAAAGTTTGTGTTTATGGCGTTATTTCTTCGAGGTGCACAAGAAGCATCCGCGGACACGAGGGAACGGGGTCCTCAGGCATGCGGGCTCTGGAGACTCCACGCCTCAGTGCCTGAACACAGGTCGGGCATGTCGTCCTGCAGGCGGATTTAGGTAGAGACAACAGCAATAATCAAACATGCTCGAACAATCTACGAAAATAATTGAACAACTGTCCCCTGCTGATTTTTCACAACTATGTTTGAAGACTCCGCCTGAAAAGGGACATCCCCGACTTCGAACATGGAGCCGCTTCTGTTGGCTGCACGCTTTCCCCCGGGGCCGTGGGCGCCCCGAAGAAGGGGAGGGGGAGGAGGAGGAGGTGGAGGAGGGAGGAGGATGAGATGAAGGAGGAGGAGGAAGAGGAGGAGGAGGAGGAGGAGTAGGAGGAGAAAGGGAAGAGGAGGAGGGAGGAGGAGAAGGAGGAGGAGGGGGAGGAAGGAGGAGGAGGAGGAAGAGGAGGAGGAGGAGGAGGAGGAGGAGGAGGCTGAGGAGGCTGAGGAGGAGGAGGAGGAGGAGGAGGAGGAGGAGGAAGAGGAGGAGGAGGAGAGAGGAGGACGGGCCGCCTAAGCCTTTCGGAGAAACCCTCCACTGTTAGCCCGAGGCCCGGGGGATGGGCCCCGAGAAGGCTCCGAGGCCAGCGAAGGGGCATCAAGGCGTGCATCCGTTCGGGGCCGCTTCTCTCCGGCACAGTCAGGCAGCCTCGGCCTCGCAACCCCAGGGGCCGGAGAAGGAGGAGGAGGAGGAGGAGGAGGAGGAGGGAAGAGGGGGAGGACCGTAGCCATTTTGGCTCAAGCCATTTTGGCTCAAGTTGCCATTTATCAAGGCAGCTGGCCAGGACAGCTTCTCTGGCCGCCACGAGTGCAGCCCAGTCAGGCGCCCGAGGTGGTCTTCATCTTTCGGCATTGTGAGCTCCTGTTGGAGCAGTTTCTTTCCACGTCCAGTCGTGCTGAGGCATGGCTAAATCCAATGGCAAGGGTAAGGGGCCAGTCGGCCTTGCTTGCCCGCACTGTGGGTGCAAGAAAAACCCGAGCCACTTCAAGTTCTGCTACCACTGCAAAGGATCCATCCCGCACTTCGTGCCAGTCCCTCCGCCTCCGCCTGTTTGGGAGTATAACCCTTGGGTTCGTGCTCCTGGTTCTGCTGGGCCTCCTGGAGGTGGTCGCAACGGCAAGGGCGGGGGCAAGGGCAAGCACCTGGGTGCTAAGGGAGGCCAGCGGGGTGATGAACCTACGGGAGGAGGAAGGGAGCCTAATATTCGTGAAGAGCTCCACCGCCTCTCTCAGTTGGCTGCAGGAGGAAAGCTTCGTGGGATTTTGCCAGACGCATCTGTTAACGCCATCTCTCAAGCATGGAAGGTGGCTCAAGATCAGAAGTTGGCCAGCGTACCTCCTTCCCAACGGCTCAGGAAGATGGAGCAGGAGCAGACCAAGAGCGAGAAGCGCTTGGAGAAGCTCATGGAGGAAGAGTGTTCAGTCGATGAAGCGATTCGCAAGTTCCAAGACAAGAAGGCTGAGCTTCAGGTCAGCATTCAGAATGAGAAGAAGAAGATCGAGGAGGCCAAGAGGAGAGCTGCTGCTGTCCAAGCTTCTTCGGCGGAGACTTCGGCTTCGGCTCCTTCGATGGAGAGTTTCATTTCCCATCTCAGCATGTTCGAAGGGACATTGTCTGGGGTCAAACACGAAGGTGTACGCGCTAATCTACAGGCACGGTATAAGGAGTTCTTGGATGGTCTCCGCGATGCCATGCCTGCACCAGAGCCTGAGGTGGCCTCCGCGGGCGCTGTTGAGAGCTCGGTCATGGAGGTCGACGAGGCTGATGTCATGGAAGCTGTGCAGGTTGAAGGTGTTTCGGATTCTCAGAAGAGGGAGATCTTGGAAGCCATTCGGTCGGCGAGCAAGAGACCGAGGTTTCGTTCCCCAGGGGCTGGAGGTCGACCGACTGGCGGGGAAACCCGCGCGCCCTCCACACCTTTCCAGCAACCGCCCCCGTCCGTTATGGGCTCCGGCACGCGGTCTGACTGGGAGTTCGATGGGTGTGGCGGTGGTTCGGAGCACGACCTTTAGCAAGTGCGACCTCGAGGGCCTCGTTCTCGGAAACTCTGGATCGGTGATCGGGCTGACTGGCATCGGTAGTGGAGTCTATGAGGCGGGGCTTCAGAGGAGTACGGCATCAAGTTCGGCCTCTTCGTATCATGTGTGTGGTGGCAATGCTATTTCATCGGCGAGGGTCTCTTTGCCTTCGAGCAGTTCCTCAGGGCTGCGTGGCACTGCTCCTACAGAGCCCCTGGACCGACAAGGCCAGGGCCCATGTGGCAGTAACCAGGCCGAGTCGGGACAGTCGGGAGGCCAAGGAGCAATCGCCACGCAGCCCACAACAACTTCGGTGTCAAGTACACCCAGTTGTGGGTCAGTCGGTTGTGGGCAGCCCGAACGAATTGCCCAAAGGAAAGCTGTTTCAGAGCTTCACCCCCTCAGCATCATCACGTTCAACGGGAACAGTTGGCACAGTGAAGCTGCGGATGATGGATCTTCCAATGTCAAAGGTGGTAGTTTCTCGGAGCTGGTGAGGACCACGAACGGTGATGTTCTTCTCCTACAGGAACACAAACTGGCAGGGGCGAGGCTTTCACGGACCCGCGCAAGACTTCAACGGCAAGGTTGGCGAGTCTATGCTGGAGAGTGCGTCACCAATGTGGAGACAGGGAGACCCAGCTGCGGCACGATGATCCTGGTCAGGAAGCATCTTGACTCTTGGATACCACCGTCGTCACCTTTATCCCTCTACGATGGGCGAGTTGTGAGGATTTTTTTTTCGGTCTTCCGAATTTGGTATTGTGGCGCTCTACTCTGTCTATCTAAAGGATTCTCTCGGATACAGAGGGATGAATGTGGGCATATTGAAGACAGTATGGAAGGACATCTTCGACCATGGACTCCCGTTCTGTATTGGCGGAGATTTCAACATGGGACCCAGTGAGATGGCCAGCAACGCCCCACTTGTGCAGATTGCAGGAGTTGTCAGGGCTCCATTGGCATCCACGTTTGTGGTTCCAGAAGCTTTTTCAGTCATTGACTACTTCATTGTCAGCAAGCATTTAGATTTTGCAGCAGGACAGGTGTTCACAGATGTTGATGCCTCGTACAGTCCGCATCGGCCAGTCTGTTTTTCTGTGAAGAGGGCTCTGAAGGATATCTATGTCAAAGTCCCTGTTAAGTTTCAACATGTGCCACCTGTTGCTGCAGTGGGTCCTGCTCCTGCTCCTCCCAGCTATGGTCTGATTGTACAAGACATTGAAAGTTTCCTCCTTCCCTTGCAAGATGCTGATGGAAATTCATACATGGCCACAGGTGCTGATAAATCCCAGGGAGCTCTTTTACTGGATCGAGTGTATGATCTTTGGGTCTCCCAGGCCTGGGGTGAAATCCTGGATGTGTGTCAAGCTAGGGACTCGCCTGGGCTCCCTGGGGGATCCGACTTGCAGTTCAAGGATAAACCTCTCAGGTCGCTTCTGGTTACCAAACAGTACGAGAACGCCTTTCCAGGACGAGCTTTGGAATGGGTCCTCCACAGGCTCCAAGAATTGAGATCTCTATTTCTTCGAGGCGGCAGGGAAGGCTATCTCTTGGGACTCCTGCGACAATGGCAACGTCTTCCAGTTCGAGGGGGTCCCTTCAGGAGGCACTGGAAAGCTGGGGGCGAGTTCTGGCACCCTGTACTGGCGGTATTTGCTCGAGAGCTAATTGGCACACCACTCTTGAACACTATCATCGACCGTATCGACTCGTTCCTGGATTTCGTTGGCCTGTGGGTTCGTGTCGGTCTCGTTGAAGACAGATCCAGGGCCAGGGAGTCGTGGAAAGAATGGTGTGCCGAAGCAGTAGGTGGACATATGAAGCAGGCGTTCGCCTTCTTACGCAGTGGAGAACCAGTATCCGAAGAAGTTGTCTCGGACAATGGAGTGTATTCTAGTTCCCTACCTGCTCGACTGGCTGCTGAAACCAAAGTGTGGAAGGCGGCGTGGAATGCAAGCGACGTTCGAGTTGAGCTACCTTCTTTCGACCTTCCAGTGGGGAGGATTCCTGTGGCGGAGCGTGTAGCTCCCGAAGCTTTGCGGCATATCAGTTCCCGTTTTAAGAGACAGACATGTACCCCTGATGGGTTTCATCCAAGACACTACTCTTTGTTATCGGATGGTGCGCTTCTGGCCCTGTCATGGTTATATCACTTGATCGATGTCTTGGGTCAGGGACCATCCAGGATTCAGCAACTCATTGTTTTTCTTATGAGCAAACCAGTGAAAGGGCGTCGACCTATTGGGCACTACTGTGGGTTCGCGAGGCTCCACGGCAAGACTCACAGAAACCCATGTAGATCCTGGGAAACCAAAATCGGATTGGGCCCTGAGTTTTCCATGGGACAGGGCCGCAGCGCCCTCGACACGGTGTGGAGGCAATCTGTGACGGCAGAGTTATATTCGGGACAGAAGATTCACTACGGGGCCCTCATGTGGGATTTGCTGCAGTTCTACGAGCACATATGTCATGAAGAGCTCCTCCAGCAAAATATTTTGTCCGAGTTCCCGTTGTACATACTATTATATACTATATCGACGTATCGGTGGAAGAGGATTCTCCTCCTTGATGGGGGGTATGGTGAACCCCTTTTTCCTCGGAGAGGGATCGTTGCGGGGTCCACGTCAGCCACCCACGAAGCCAAGTCGTTCCTCCTCCCCACCATTGTTGGGCACAGGGGGCTTGATAGTACGGGTATGAGCTTACATGTCGATGATCTCTCTGTGCATGCGTGGCATCAAAATGTAGATGATTGCGTTCAGCAATTACGAGACCTTGCGACCAGCTTGGCTTGGACTATCTCACAGAGTTTGCGAGTGCCCCTAGCAGAGAAGAAGATGTTTGCCACTGGTAACAGCTTAACCATCTTGGCCATGATCAAAGATAAGCTAGGGACACTCGCAGGACAGGGCATTGTTGCACCAGCCAACCTCGGAGTGGATTTCGCAGGTGGGAAGCACCAGCTGCGGCCGTTCGCTCGCCTTGTCATGAAGAAGAGGACCAAGAAATTCAAGTTTCGGGTCGCTAAGCTCTCGGGCCTCAAGGTCTCCACGAAGCTCAAGAAAAGGCTCTTCAAGGGTGGGATCCTCCCAACGGTGTCCTATGGGCTCGACATCCAGGGCGTGTCTCCGATGGAACTTTTATATATTAGAAGGTCTGCTGGGCGAGTCTGTGGGATCAGCAAGAAAGGTTGCAATTTGGACCTCCTGTGGGCCATTGAGGGCAAAGGCGACCCCATCGTGCTGGCAGGTGGCTGCGTACGTAGATACTGCTGGGAATGGTGGCACAGTTCTGAAGTGAGTAGGCACGGGGGCCCTAGGCATCAGGATGCGCTGACTCCAGGAGTTTTAAGCAAAGTGTTTCACTCGAGTGTCGAAGTCTTCCAAGGGACTCGGGGAAAACCCTGGCTTTTTCGGACCCGTGGGCCGATATCGGCCATGCTCCTCTGGCTCGAAGCTGGAGGATGGACCTGGGAGGGTCCCGCGGTGTTTCTGGATCGGTCTGGCCGTCGTTGGACTTTGACTGAATCCCCTCCGTCTCAGATTGGGGAAAAGTTCGTGGCCGATCTGGCCCAAGTGTTCCTTGACAAGTTTTTTACCAAGGGTCTTGAGACCCACTCGCACCCTGGGAACCAGGACTTGGTTGTTCGAGGGGTCTGGCTTCCTCTCTTGCAGCGTGTTGCCAAGAAGCTTAGTAGTCAAGCGAAGCACTTGTATCTACAAGTATTATCAGGTGCCCTACCGACTGGAGAGACCCTCAGGAGATGGGGCTACGAAGTCGACTCCTCGTGCCCGATGTGTGGAGCAGGTCGGGACACTTTGAGGCACAGGTGCTGGGAATGTCAGCACCCTGACATTACAAGACGCCGTGCTGAGCATTTCGGTACAGAGCTCATTCAGCAGGCTTTAGAATGTGATGAAAATATTCTTATTTTTTCCAGGTTGTGGCCAGCGTATCCTGATGTGCCCCCACCTAGCAAGGACTGGTGTTTGCAGTTTTTCGGTGCCCAGGGCGAACCAGTTGATGCGTTTGTGTTCGGGCCCGAAGCTAACCTTTTCACGGACGGGTCCTGCTTCCACAACACTCGGCCCGAAATCGCGAGGTCAGGGGTCTCCGTTGTCGAGATGAATGATGACGGGACCTGCAGGAGGGGAGTCTACAGCCCTCTTCCCAGTGAATTTGCTCAGACCCCTGGAGATGCAGAGCACGCTGCCCTAGCCCTAGCTGTGCTGAGGCAAGAACGTGTCATTGAACCTCCTCCCAAGGCCATCTCCGTGGACTGTTCGGCTTTGTTCCTGGGTGTGAGGTCTCCTGGTAGGGCCCTGGGGGGAGGTTCTCGGAGCAGCTTTTTCTGGAGGTCCATAGCTAGAGACATAGGGACTAGCAGTTGGATCTCTCTCCGCAAGGTAGGCGCCCACCGCAAGCTTCACGACGCGGTGGACGAAAACGATGCGCGGGACATTCAAGGGTCTACGGCCGCCGACCACTGGGCGAGGTTAGGGGCTCGGGCCCACGATGTCTCGCCTCAGGAGTTAGCTGACTTTGATCATGCGGAGGGCGAGTACGAATCTTTAGTCGTAGGTGTCCTCGACATTCTGTGTGGTTTTCCTTCCTGTGAAGCCCAGTTTGGGAAGCTGAAGCGGCCCCCTCGGGCCAAGAGGCCTCCCCGTTTGAAATCTGACCATTTACCTGTTTGGCACGGGAATATTCAGAGGTGTCAACGTTGTTTGCGGCAGGTATCCTCGAAGACCCAGACCCCGTGCGGTACCCTGAACCCTGCTCTGTCGGGCCTCCTCTGTGGGGGCGGGGGCTCGGGACACCACCTGCACTGGGCCCGAGTCGAAGAGAGTGATATGCCTGTCATTTTTTGCGTTTCTTGCGGAGGGTTCGCCACTAGCCGTGGCAGCGCCCTCCTCAGTGCAGCGTGTGAGCCCCCTCGCAAGAGCTCGGAGCGTTCCAAGCTGTTACGGGGGCTCCTTCCTGGGACCAAACACAGGCTGGGCCAGTCGTTTCCCCTTTCCTCTCTTCCTTTTTTCCCTCTTCCTTCTCCCCTGCCCGCCCCTGCCCTGTCCTCCACGGCTGGTCCCAGTTCTGTTGGTTCCCCCGTATCGTAGTCGGGCGTCGGCCGCTCATGAGTGACCAGGCACTGCGGAGTCTTGGAGTCTTGGAGAAGAGGGGGAGGAGGAGGAGGAGGAGGAGGAGGAGGAGGAGGAGGAGGAAGGAGGAGGAGGAGGAGGAGGAGGAGGAGGGAGGAGAGGAGGAGGAGAGGAGGAGGAGGGGGAGGAGGAGGGGGGAGGGAGGAGAGGAGGAGGAGGAGGAGGGAGGAGGAGGAGGAGGAGGAGGAGGAGGAGGAGAAGAAGGAGAAGGAGGAGGAGGTGGAGGAGAAGGAGCAGGAGGAGAGAGGAGAGTGGAGGGAGGAAGGAGGGAGGAGGAGGAGGAAATAGGGATGAGGATGAGGAGGAGGAGGAGGAAGAGCAGGAGGAGCAGGAGGAGGAAGAGGGGGGAGGAGGGGGGAGCGTCTCGAGAGCTTCATCAGCAGCCACAGGAGACAGACTTCAACTACCTTCTGAGGAGGATGAGGAAGAGGAGGAGGGGGGAGAGAAGGAAGAGGCAGAAGGAGGACGAGGAGAGAAAAAGGAGGAGGAGGAGGAGGCGGAGGGTGGAAAGATTGAGGAAATCTGACGGGGGAGAAGGAGGAGGGACGATCCACAGACGAGCCCCTGTGACTGCACTGGAGTCTTTCTTCACGGCTCACCACCAGGCCCCGCACGCGGCTCGAACTGCCAGCGCTGGCGCACTTCGCCAGGTACTTCACCACGCCAGAGGCCGGAGACGCCGAACCGCCGTCGCCCTGGACGCACCACGTCCGGAACCTGCCCGCGAGCTCTACGCTCCCCGCGTCGACCTCGCCGTTCTTCACTGGCCGGGCCTCGGCCGGCATCTTCTCGTAGAACTCCTCTGAGGAGCCACGTCAGAGGGGGACCGGCTCAGGGAGGGAAACATCTGCCTGGGTTCGGCGATTCAACGCCGACGGATCGGCGATAGGCCCCCGACAGCAAAGCCGCACGCTCCTCGAGGGGTGGGCCATCGGGCCCCTGCCGGAGATGAATTCGATTAGCCCAAAGCGGCATAACCAAAAACATTAAGGCACCCTGTCCCCGTACAGGGGGATTTTGGGCGAAAGCTAGAAAATACCTAAACAACCGGCCAAATGCGCAAAAATGGTAATACAAAAAAAAAAAAACTCGTCCCCTGACTATTCCTCCACTATTTTTGAATATTCGCCTTGGAGAGGGACACGCCCGACTTACCATAAACTTCTGGAGGTCCGCGCGGAGTTCACGCATCGGCCCCGGACCCCCCTCCCTGGCGCGCATGGGCGCGCCAGGGGCGGCGCAGGGGAGGCGCCAGCAGGGGGGCCAAGCGCCGAGCCAAGAAATCCTCGCGGACCTCCGAGTTGTTGTGCTTCTAGACGAGCGCGCTCCACTACTCGCAAAGTGACTCCTAGCAAATGGCCTGGATCCCCCGCGGGGGATCTACGATATAAATTTAGCCGACATGTGCTTTTCGTTCGGACATTTTTGCGAGCAGGCACTCTGCGAGCAGTGGAGCGCGCTCGGCGACATCCTCGCGGACCTCCGAACTGTGTTGTGCTTCTGTCCGCGTCTGCGCCCCGATGTCGGGCCCGTGCCGGAGACGGATGGGCGATGGGGGGTCGACGCGCCCCCCCCCCCCTCAGCCTATCCTCGGGTCGGGCGTGCCCCCCTACAATCGGCGGTGGACAAACCTCCCTTTAGTGAACCTCCCTTTAGTGAAAACGGCCTGGGACCGAAACCGACGGACCTGGACCTGCAAAAATGACGGCCGCGACGCCCTCTCGCGAACCGAAAACGGCCAATTCCCTCATCGACGTGTCATGGTAGGAGGTCTGTCCGCCCCCGATACAAGCGGATATTGGGCGAATAATTAGAAATACTGAAAAGATAGCCCCGAGTAGTCAAACAAGTAGAGGGACACGCCCGACTTAAGCCTATCCCCCCTGAACGTTGCCCTGAACTCCTCGAGGGCGCCGAGGTCGTCCTCGCCCAGCTCGCTGAGCGGGAACTGGTCGCGCTTGGGCCTCACCTTGTCCTCGCGGCAGAAGCGGCCATTCAAAAAGCCACCACCACCACCTGTGGCCCGTGAAATGCTCCCGCCTGCGGCGTGAGCGGCTGGAGTCCGCGGTGCGCGCCGACTCTTGAGCAGGGACCGACTGTCCCGGCATTCCCGTAGGCCTTCCGCGACATAGTCTCAGAGCACCAACATGTTCTGATAACAAAAACGATGTTCTCAGAACGTCAAGCCGGTGTGTGAAAACGAGACAGCCCCAACCAGAAACGTTCTGAGAACACTCCGTGCAAACCACAAAAAAAGGTCCTTAGAACATCCTTTGGTGGGGCTATAGGCAAGCTAGGACGCCTCGCCACTGCTTGAGACTCGTCGATGCCTCAGCGATGCACTGGCGACGTCGCACCAGCGTCACCAGGTGGAGAACACCAGGCTCCAGATCGCGCTGCGCCGCTAATTAGGCGGTCGGCGACGCGGCGATGCGGAGCGACATCCTCTGACTTCGTCCGCTGGGGCTGCTTTGGCCCACCTGGGGTCCTGGCTGACCCTGGCCAGGGCGGGTGGTGGTGTGCATCGGCGGCGAGCGAAGGGGGGAAGTGAGAAGGAGAAGACCCTCTCCTCAGAAGCTTCGGAAGTCCCGGGGCCTTCTGAGAAGTTCTCTAAGCCTTCATCGAAGACAGAAACACTTCTCAGAAGGCGCGAGGGCTCCTCAGAAGCTTCGGAAGTCCTCCGGCCTTCTGAGAAGTGTTCTAAGCCTTCATTGAAGACAGAACAACTTCTCAGAAGGCGCGAGGGCTTCTGAGAAGTCACAGGTACCGATACCACTCCACTACTCCCCAGACCTCTCCCGGAGTGCGTTCTGACCAGGACTTCGAGGCGAATCCAGCGGTGACGACGAGGATATCCCAGGAGGCCCAGGAGGGGGAAGCGGGCGAAGGGTAGAGGTATGGATACCTTTTCCTCCACTGATCTTAGGGGAACAAAGAATGACATATACATAAAAACTCGGAGGTCCGCGCGAATTTCTCGGATCGGCGCTGGACCCCCTCCCTGGCGCGCTCCGCGCGCCAGGGGCGGCGCCGGAGGCGCCGCCGGGGGGCCCCAGCGCCGATCCGAGAATCCGCGCGGACCTCCGAGTTTTTATGTTTATGCCACTTTTTGTTCCCCATGTTCCTGCACTGATCTCCTTCTCACTTACCCCCCCCCTTCGCTCACCGCCGAGAGTGCCAGAACTGTGGCTGCCCCGCGGGGCTCTCCTCGCGGGAGCGGCACAGGTTGTACGCCAGGGACGCGTAGAGGAAGGCCAGGTGCTTGTCCTCGGCCAGGTCCTCTGAGCATCGCTTAACCGATCCCCGTCCCCAGCGGCGTGGCCTGAGCCCCACTGACCGATGTACCCCCCCAGATGGGGATGTAGAGGGGAACAAAAAGGGACATAAACATAAAAACTCGGAGGTCCGTGCGAATTTCTCGGATCGGCGCTGGGGCCCCCCGGCGACGCCTCCGGCGCCGCCTCTGGCGCGCTCCGCGCGCCAGGGAGGGGGCCCCAGCGCCGATCCGAGAAATTCGCGCGGACCTCCGAGTTTTTATGTTTATGCCACTTCTTGTTTCCATAATATAGGTCGTTCCCTTCGGGTATCGAGGGGTGTATCCCCAACTGGGGTGGTAATTTGGTGGGGGTCTCGAAGGGCATGGGGATGGGGATGGGGATTGGTGAAACGAGACCGATCCTCCGCGCCGGCGAGGTCCAGCATGGCCCTCAGCGTCTTCTTGGACCCCATGAGCAGCTCCTGGGAAGACCGACAATGTACCGATGCCGCTACTCCCCAGACTTGTCTTGGGGCGCGTTCTGACCAGGATTTTGAGGCGAATCCAGCGGTGGCAACGAGGGCCTCCGAAGGGGCCGGAAAAGAGCGAAACGGGCCACGGGCAGCGGTATGAATACCGTTTCCTGGTCTGGGCTCCTTGAACTCCCCGTGGATGGAGAGGCACGCACAACTCTCGTACAACGCCCGGCACAGCCTGCGGACCTCGTCTGTTCCCGCCGCCGCGCCGCTGGACCTCGCCGTAGCCGCGCTCTCTCGCGCCACGTCCAGCGCGTGCCTGAGCTCCAGCAGAAAGTCCATACGGTCGAACACTTCCTCGCGCACCTCCTTGCAGGAGAACCCAAAACCGAATCGACAAGTCGGATCGGCGATCGAAATGAATCGGATCGGCGGAAATCGGCAGCCAAGTCGGGAGACGTCGTATCGGCAGAAATCGGCAGAGCAGCAGGGCTCCATTGAGGAATCGGATTCCAAATCGGAATCCGAAGTCGAATCGAATCGGAATCAGAGGCCATCGAAAGTCGAATCGAACCGAATCGAAGGAATCGAAACGAGCCCTGTCCTTGTTGTGGCCGGCAACAATCGCAAGCACGGCAATCATCTTCGCACGCACGATGCCCCCGCTCCCCTCCTCCCCGTCGGCGAGGATGCTCAGCAGTATCTCGATGCCCTCGCCGTCCACGAAGTGCTGCCGCGTCTTGCGGTCCCCCGCGCAGAGCAGCATGCACTCGACGGCGTGGTCCCTCGCGGCCGCGCCCTCCGCGCCCGGGGGGGGGCGCTTGATGGCGGTGAGGATGGCGACGAGGGGCGCGGACGACTTGGTCAGGAGCTCCGTCGCGGACTGGGAACTGGCCGCCAGCAGCGCGCTGAGCCCGCTCAGCCCGTTGGCCTTCAGCGCCCAGTCCTCCGACCCCAGGAAGGGCTCCAGCACCCTCAGAGGAGGAGGTGCAATGATAGCCAGCTGAGGGGGGAACATATCGACGCATCGCCGATAGATCGGCAACACATCGCCGACAGATCAGCTGGAGTCGGCAACACATTGCCGATAGATCGGCGATAGGCCCCCGACAGCGGAACCTGGGCGGAGTGAGCTATCGTGCGCGCATCGGAGAGGAATGGGCGATTGGAGCTCGATGCGTCCCCCCTGAGCCTATCCCACCCCTCAGCGTTGCCCCTGGGAGGGGCAGGCCGGCACTGCACCGAAACCCATCCTGCCCCGACATCCTGTTCCTACAGTCGGGGCCTTGACCTAACGAACCCAAAATAAGGAACTAGGCCCCTTTTTTCCATAAGAAAAATGTCGATCCCCCATAGAAAACCCAAGGAAAACCAAAGGCAAACTGTAAAACACTGAAGGAACGCGGAGCCCCTCCCCAACGAAAAGGGTTCCTTCTTCAGGGCCCCGACTGTAGGATGGATGTGCGCACGCCCTCCGGGCTTGGCCAGGAAGGCGTCCGACCTCAAGCCTATGGTTTTCAAGAGGAGCATGTCTGGGGGCGGTGTCCGTGTGCGGCGGGTGCCCCCCGCATGGCCTCAGGCTGACGTCTGTGAGGTCGAACTCCATGCTCTTGGGCCGGTCCTCCTTCGGGGCGCACAACGACATACTGGTACTACAGTCGGGGCGCTGACCTAAGGAACCCAAATAAGGAACGAGGCCCCTTTTTCCATAAGTTAAGCTTCGATTTCCCATCGAAAACCTAAGGAAACCCTGAGGCAAGCTGTGAAACAATCAAGGAACACCGAGCCCCTCCCCAACGAAAAGGGTTCCTTCTTCAGGGCCCCGGCTGTATGTCCTCCATGGAGGCGCGTGTCCGACCCGAACATTTCGTAGTCCCCCTTTGCATTAGATCGTTTCCCGAGCGGCGTGGCGGGAAAGCACCCGCCAGGACGCATATGTACTATAAGATTTCTCGGTGCGCGCGTCGCCCCTGGGGGGGCAACGCACATGTAGTACTAGTATGTTGGGGTGATAGTGAGCGTTTGTTTAGTCGGCGTTTCGGCATTGGGCGGAAAGGCGTGGAGGGGGGGAGGGTCTGGCTCCAGACCTCTGCTTAGTGCGACTGTTTGCGACAGTGCGTCCTATGAGGGGAGACTCCACCATGTGGGGGGGGGGGGCAGGGGGGTTGCGAGCGCCCGCGCCGATCGGCAAAACAATGAATAAAAAACAATCACCTGCCGATCCTTGTCTGCCAGGAGGGCCCAGAACAGGGCCAGCAGGGGTCGCAGCTGCTCGTCGCAGGTGGTCGTGCCCAGCGCCGTCTCCACGCACTTCAGCAAGGGCGCGGAGGGCATCAAGCACTGCGCGCTCTTGCCCTTCCGGCGCCGGATGTCCAGCATGCCTACTGCGCGCGCGCCGAGGAGAGGAACGGGAGGAGCACAGGGAGCTCCTCCTTCTCCTCCTCCTCCTCCTCCCCCTCCTCCTCCTCCTCTTCCTCCTCCTCCTCCTCTTCCTCCTCAACCCGTATCACAAGGGTACGCGATAAGAGGTGCACGGGCCTTGGAAGGCCATGTCGACGCCTTGCAAGCGGGGCGCGGCCAGCGAAAGCGGCCAAGGACGGCCCGAAGGAGCAAGGATACAGGGGTACCCTAGTTGCCCAGCCCTGCTATGCGGGTTGACTGTATGGCCCAGACCGCGAAGCGCGATCGTCGTCGCGCCTTCTGCCAACACTCCCCCGCAGGAACAAGCACCAGCGCGCCAGACCACAACCAAGACTGATCGAAACCTCGACTCGCGATCGCCAGCGACGACGACGTCGACAGTTCCATAAGAACCCCCAGGAACGCCCAAACACGCCCGACCACTGCCGAAGCCGAAACCATGATGCGCGATTGCCGACGACGATGACGACGTCGAACGTTGCATCACTTGGGCAGCCCTCTGAGATTCGGAGCGAGACGGTCGAAGGCGGCGAGGGCGGCCCTCCCCCGACCTCTGATGCCGTCTGCCCACTACAGCCGACGCGTACCACCAGGATGCGCGGTAAGGATGCAGGGGCCTCGGAGGGCCACGCCAGCGTTTCTCGAACGAGGCTGGCCAACGAAAGTGGCCGAGGAGGGGCCGACGGGGCAGGGATGCAAGGGTATCCTTGGGAACTTTGCCCATCCTTGCTATTAGAGGCCTCCTAGATGGGGTCGGAGTAGAGGGGGTCGAAGGATCGAGCCGCATCGCCAGTGCATCGCCGACGCATCGGCTATGCATCGGCGATGCATCTGGGACGTCGGCGTGGGGAAACACGGGCTCCACATAGAGCCGCATCGTCGATGCGGCGCGATCCTCCGACCCCATCTACTCGGACCCCATCTACGAGGCCTAGAAGGGTACCCTTGGGAACTTGGCCCATCCTTACAATGCCGGTCGACTGCAAAAGGTCAGCCCTCCTCTTCGCGCTTGCCTCTCGCGCCCCATTCGCCATCGCGTGGCCTGGTGTGCCGCTTCGACCGCGCTGAGCGTCCACCCGCGCTGCGGTCAGTGAGGGGTCACGGATCTCTCGGCCCCCCAGCCCACACACCAAGGGGTGAACAGCCTCTTCTCCACTGTCGGTCTCTCCCAGGGGGGAGTCGTCGGGAAGCTGCTCGCGGAAGTGCCCTGGAGGGGGGCGGACTCTGCTGCCTCCTGGTCCGCCATCGCTCCTGCTGGCGCGCAGGTGGTCGACGAGTTCTTCTCGCCCTTGGGTAGTGGTGCCGGCGTCGTCTCCGCTTGCCTCCAAGGGCTGCTGTTCCATCCCTGTGTTTTGTCCCCGACGTCCCCGACAGGGGTGTCCTTCACCGACCCTGTTGGCGAGTGTGAGAGGCTTTTCCGCTTGAGTCGTCGTCGTCGTCGTCGTCGTGTTCGTCGTCGTCGACGTCGTTGTCGTCGTCCTCATCCTCCTCCTTCAGGGTCGGCGGCGCCAGCCCGGGAAGGCTTTCGCAGTCCTTCCATCGGACACACGCAAGAGTGACCCTAGGCAAGAGTGACCTTTGGTGCGCGGCTGTTGTGAGGGGCAACGATAGGGGGGGATATGCATAGAGGGAAACATCGACCCGAAATCGGCGATATATCTACGATCGATCGGCGATGTGGCCCCCGATAATTCGTGAATCCGCACGCTTCTGGGCAGGTCGGGGCCATCGGGCCCCCATCGGCGATCAGCGGTCGATGATTCCCCTCCTGTGCCCACCCCCCCTGCCTCTGCCCCGGAAGGGGGGGCCAGACCCCAGCGCGCAAGAGGCTGCTGTTGCCTCGCGCTCGGCGATCGGGGGGCCCCACTGGGCCCGCACCAAGTGGCACTCCGGCGAAGGGTCCTGGGGGGACCAAGAGGTACTGATACCGCTGCTCCCCGAGCCTCTCCCAGGGTGCGTTCTGACCAGGAGTTCGAGGCGAGTCCAGCGGTGGCGACGAGGGCCGCCCTGGAGGCCCGAAAAGGGGAAGACGGCCGAGGGGCAGCGGCATGGGCACCTCTCCCTCCTCTGAGGTCGCTCTTACGTGCGGTCGGTTCCCTTCGGCCACGGGGAGGCCGAGATTGATTACCAGCCTGGAACAGATCCCTATCCCTATGCTGGGCATCTCCTCATCACGATGCCAATCTTAGGGATCCCCTTCTTTCTTGAGGGCGTATCCCTAAGATTGTCATCGCCTTTTGGCGTGTCGATCTTAGGGATAGGGATAAGTTCGAGGCTGGTAACTTTCAGCGCGCCGAGGCCCTCCGGGGCGGGCGGACCCCCACCGGCGGCGCCTGAGAGGGCGGCCACGCCCGCGCGGGGCACGTTCACCTCCCCCTCCTCGGGGAACGCCAGGGCGTCGTGGATCGCCTCGGCCCCAGCGCCCCCTCTGAGACGACGCCCGGGCGAAGATAAAATCAGGTAAGGATAAATCGGGAGTCTCTGAAATCCGGCGGCTCTGAAGAATGTCTCGGGCGCCGCGGCCTCCTCGGCACGTTCCGGAACGCTCTGGCACGTTCCAGAACGCTCTGGCAGCGCTCCGGGATGCTCTGGAACGGAATGTCCTCGTCCTAGCCCCGGTCGACCCGCCTCTCCTTCAAGGCGGGAAGGGAGCAAAGAAGAGGCGCACGGAACGGAAAGGAACTGGAGTCGAACCGTTAGCCACCACGAGCCTACCAAGGGAAACGGGGCCGACCCCTTGTCGATTCGATTCGCCCGCAACGGGGAAATCGAGTCGGTTCCTGGCAAGTCGGATGGCATCGCTTGGACGAGACGAATCGGTAACTCTGAAGATTCGATTTGGGCACGGGGCCCGTTCGGATCGATCGGTTTGTTTGGTTTTTTGTTTTTCTTTATTTTGTTCACATCATTATGATTCAGTGTTGTTAGATGGGGGGGACCCGTTCGGATCGATCAATTCGAGGCATGTCCTGCCTTAGGGGGGCGCCCCTCCCTGCGCTCCGCGGTCCCCGCGGCGGCAGGGAGCGTATGGTAACGACTCCTCCTCCTCCCCCTCCTCTCCCTCCTCCTCTTTCTCCTCCTCCTCCTCCTCCTCCTCCTCCGGATGTTGAGGACCCCTCGTGCAAGGCGCTGGTTGTCGCGCCCAAGGGGGCTCAGATCGCGATGATGTCTCGAGCGGTTTGCATGTTTTTTGGGGGCCAGGGTCGTCTGTGCGCAGAGCAGATTCTGAGGATGTCTCAGGCGGTTTGCTGGTGTTCGTACTCCGAATGGGGGGGGCGCCAGGGGTATTACGCGGCCTCCATTCGCGCCCGGATTGCGGGGATGTCTCAAGCGTTTTAACTGCTTACCAGCTCAACATCCTCAGCTTTCGGAGCAGGCGGCCTCCATTCGCGCCCGGATTGCGGGGATGTCTCAAGCGTTTTAACTGCTTACCAGCTCAACATCCTCAGCTTTCGGAGCAGGTTTGGAGGATGTCTCAGGCGAGGCGCTGGTTCTCGCACCCAGAAGGGGGCCAAGATGGCGAGGATGTCTCGAGCGGTTTGCATGTGTTTGGGACCAGACTCCTCTGCGCTCAGCGCAGATTCTGAAGATATCTCGAGCGGCTTGCCTATGTTGCTGGCCAGACTCGTGGGCACGGATCCTTTTCAGGGTGCAACAGGAAGCTCCAGCAGGCTCCAGGAGGCTCCAGGAGGCCACAGGAGGCCACAGGAGGCTCCAGGAGGCCCCAGGAGGCACCAAGAGGGTCCAGGAGGCCCCTAGAGGCCTCAGGAGCAGGAGGCATCAGAAGGCCATAGGAGTGGCTCCGATCCAATATGTTCACGTATGCTCTATGTTCGTATAGACTGTCCTTCTCCTGCGTATCCAATCCTAAGTGTTTTACGTATGTTCTTATATTTTGGGCCTCCCATATGTGCACGAGTCCTTGGTGTTTACGCGTGTTCCTATATCAGAGTGAGGGGGCCGAACGGTCATTCATTGTCCCTGAGTGCGTGGCTGAATAAAGAATTCGTGGTGAGAATTATGCTTGTTGCGTCGTCGTCGTCGTCGTCGTCGTCGTCGTCGTCGTTGTTGTTGTTGTTGTTGTTGCTGGTATTGTTGTTGCTGTTGTTATTGTTGACTGTTAATTACTAAACAATTGTTATTGTTGGACCCCTTACAAGCGCCCTGGCGCTCTCTCCGAGGCGCCGGCTGCATGCTCATTGAAAATGAGGCTCACTCTCAAGCGGTTTGGGGGACCGCCCAAACCGGCCCCCCAACAACAGCAACGCTCCTGTTCGAGACGTCCTCCCTTTTTACTCAGGGCCGTTGCTCGTGCTCGCCGCCGAAAACAACCATCTCAACAAAACCAGCGCTCCCGCACGAGACTTCCTCCCGTTTTACATTGAACAGCTGCGCTACTCTTTCTCTCATCGGCGCCGCCCCCAGCAACAACAACGCTTCCGCTCGAGACTTCCTCCCTGTTTTACTCAAGGCGGTGCTCTTGCTCGCCGCCGACAGCCCCCGTCCAGACAAAACCAGCGCTCCCGCCTGAGACTTCCTCCCGTTTGACGCTGGATACTCTCTCTTTTGAGTTGGCGCCGCTCCCAGCAAGAACAGCGCTCCCACTCGAGGCTTCCTCTCTTTTTCCTGGTGCTGTTCCTCGCCGCCGACAGCCCCCGTCCCGACAAAACCACGGCTCCCGCTCGAGACTCCCCTTCTTACTCAAGGCGGTGCTCCTCCTCACCGCCGACAACCGCCGTCCCAACAAAACCAGCGTTCCCGCTCGAGACTTCGTTTTGTTTTACGCTGGACTAGCGCCCTACTCTCTTCAGAATTTGGCGCCGCTCCCAGCAACAGCAACGGCCCTGCTCGAGACTTCCTCCCTTTCTATTCAGGGCCAGGTCCGTGCGTCGCCGCCGACAGCCCCTATCCCCACCAAGGTAATCCTGTCGCTCGATACTTCCTTGTGCTTTAACCTTGGCTGGGGATCCACTGGCGGTCTATCATCGGCGCAGCAAGGCGCGGGCATGCGTGTTCGAGGCGGGATGTGTTGAAATTCCTCGGAGGAGGTGTTCGCAAGACCTCATTTGGCGGGAGATCTGGGGATGGGAATAACGAACCCGCTATAGAACAATCATCCCTCAAAATGGGGATTGTTATCATGATGGTCGCATGCTTCGTGTGGAGACATCGCACATGAGGGTAACATGATTGGTGTCGTTGTTGATGGTGTTGTTGTTGTCATTGTCGTTGTCGATGTCGTTGTGGTTGGTGGTGTTGTTGTTGTTGCTGCTGCTGTTGTTGTTATGTGTTGTCGTCGTCCCGCCTGCGACCCACCCGCGACCCTTCCCGCGACCCACCCGCGACCCACCCACGACCCACTCGCGACTCACCCGCGACCCACCCGCGACCCACCCCGTGACCCAACCCGCGACCCATCCGCGACTCATCCGCGACCCACCCAAGACCCACCCTGCGTGCGACCCACCCGCGACCCACCCCGCGACCCACCCTCCGGGGAGGAAAAAACACCCGGACCCGACAATTGACGTTTACTAGACGGCCCTGGGCGTTGACTAAACAGCATTGCCCTGTTCGATTCATTCCTGTGTGCGTTTACTAAACGGCTTCGCTTGTCGGAGTGATTATCATGGATAGGATTTTCTGCCCTCTACACCCGCGACCCACACGCGACACACCCGCGACCCATTTGCGACCCACCCACGACCTACCCACATTGGTTTAACGAAAAAAACTGCGCCTTGGCGCCTGCGGCGGGCTTCTCCAGAGTCTCGCAAACTGCCGACGTCCCCACCGCCACCTCACTCTCATCCGCATCTGCGGGGTGCTTCGTATTGCCCTTCTCCTGCGGCTCCACTCCGCAGTGTTTTATGCATGCCTGTTCCTACAGGTTGGGCCTCTCCTGGGGCACGAATCCTCCCTGGGAGACCCAACGAGGCTCCAGGAGGCTCCAGGAGGCCCCAGGAGGCCACGCGAGGCCCAAGGAGGCTTCAGGAGGCTACAGGAAACCCCAGGAGGCCCCAGGAGGCCCCAGGAGGCCCCAAGGAGCTCCAGGAGGCCCCAGGAAGCCCCAGGAGGTTTTAGGAGGCGCCAGGAGGCCCCAGGCTTATGCGCAGAGACGCGCTCGTACTGGTCAGACTCATTCACACTCCAACTCATCCATAATTAGATTCACTCCCAACCGTCACTACTCAAGCCCGTTTATGTTCGAAAACTCTCGCGTTCGACGCTCACGGCGGACAGATCCATGCTAATAGATGCAAACACGGGGAGCTCCAAGCAATGAATTATTCCAGAACGTCGACCCCTAGCGGTCTCGGTACGCCATTCTGCCCATCACGCTGCCGCTTTGCATGTATTCTTTGACAGGGACGGCGGGGCGGCGTCGACATATTGCCCGATGTGTCCTGACAGATGCACTGGCGCACTTGTCGCCGCCTGGCGCACTCCGCGTGCGTCGCGCACGCGGTGCAGCTGGAGGACGTGGCGTAGCTGGAACACGTGGTACGGTGGCGTCTGTATATTGGCTCGCGATGGCTGCCAATCCGATGGCAGCCTCTGCTTATGATTTATGATGAGAATTCGCCGATCTGGCGTGTGAGTCTTAAACAAGCAACGTTCAGGTTTCAGCTCTGCTATGACCGTCGCCTTTTTCCCCCCGTAACGGTCATTCCCAAGAGGGGAAGTCGGGCGGGAGGATAAAAATAACGGCGGCCGCGGCGTGCACCCGCCAGGGTGAGTCCGCGCCACCGGCGCTTCAATCGCCCGTGTGCACCACAGTCTCTGTGCACACCAGAGTGCCCTATGCCCGCGTGCAACACAGCGCCGCCTGTGTACACCAGTGTGCCTCCGTACACCACAACAACCGCGTGCACCGCGTGCACCGCATCGCCGATGTCAACCGCAGTGCCTGCGTATACTGTAGCAGCCGCAACAGGTGCCGCAACAGGTGGGGCGCCCGCGAGCGCCATAGCACGAAAGTGAGCACCAGAGCAGGCCTTTTCAGCGCCACGCCGTGGGATCGCCCCAACCCCCAGCACGATCGTTGGCGTTGCCCACGGCGGGGGGCCCCCCAAGGGGCCCGGGAGGCACAACCTACGGCACAAGAGTGCCCCGGGACGCCCACGATGGCCTAGCGACGGCACGCTTCAAAACGGCCCCAATGGGACCCCCCAAGATGGCCCCACGATGTCCAAACCGCCACGGTTCTATGGGTCCTGGTGCGATTCGAACAATGCCACCTGTTCGGTCTACGAAAACGGCCCACGAGGCTCGACAAACCGCATCCAGAACACCCAAAAAGGCCACCAAGAGGGCTCACAGACGGCCCAAGAGAGTCCAACGATGGCGAAGAAGGCCGCAGGCCATTAGATGTGTGGGGCAGCCTATAGGGTGCATTCTACGTGGTGCAATGAACCACTGCTCACTCGTGAATTGTCAACACCACTGCTCACGCAATCACCTCACCCACCCACCCGCAATATGGTTTTCAAAACCTGCGAGGCGGCAGTGTGACGCCTGCGTAGCGCTGGCTAGCGCATCGCTGCGGCCGCGCAATCGCGCGCATGATCGCGCGCAGAGCGGCCAGCTAGTCTGGCGCGACCGACGCGGCCGCGGTAGCGCTGACCGCTGGAAACTTCCCAACGCGTCTGGCGGGCCTCGCTGGCGCGCGGGCACTTCAATGCGAGTCCGCGAGTCGGGCGGCCGCGGTGTCAGGGCGACGTCGACAACGGCAGACACGATGATTGCATCGAGGCTGGTGACGACAGTGACGATGACGACGGCAAGGCAAATGACGGCTCCGATGCTAACCACGCCGATACAGGTGATGGTGTCCAGTCGTCGGTGATCAGCGTTTCGAAAGGCTTTGACATGCGCAAGCGACCGACGGGCGCGAGTGGCACACATGGTCTTATATGACAATGATATTGCCCCCCTCCAGCACGCGCGCAAGTGCGTCGTGCGCGCGAGAGGGGCCCGTTTGGTCGTAGTTGATGAGCATGTTGGAACACGTATGGTGTTACGAAGAAGTCGCAAGAGTGCGCGCGCATACGTTCTTTGTGAATAATGATGGTGCAATACACTGGTTATCGGAAAGCTGAGGACGCAAGCTTTGCGAACGCTGCAACAGATCTTTTACTTATTTTCGGGCACACTCGAGTTTGAAATCCTTCGGAGAGCTGGACTTGTTGAACAATTCGGCATGCGCGCGCGACGACGTGCGCGTGTACACGTCGTCCCGATGTGTTGCAAAAGAAATTAGAAAACTGACGATGATTGATAAACGAATGCGCGTGCATAGTATTTTCTGCACCGGAATGGTGGGGGGTCAACCCTGGTTTGGCTGGGATGATATGGATTCAATTTTAGAGTGGACCACGAACCCAAATCGCATTTAAATTGCACATCTCCAGTGGGGCAATCCTGGCCTCGGGGGGGTGTTCTCTTTGAACAACAGAAAACAACTGTTGTACAATCTAGGCGGCGGGTGGACGGGCGACGTCGGCGGCCACATACCTACTCGCCAACCCGACTATCAGGCCCAGACGGCGGGCGCGACGAGGTGGTGACGGGGCGGCGACGGCGGCCACACCGCCAGACCGACATTCAGGCCCAGTCCGTTAGAACAGAAGTAAGGACCCAAAAGTGCTGGCACTGTTTGGGGAACTTGTATGTGTATATATATATATAGATTATGCTCATACGCGCTATTCCGAAGAAGCATAGATCAAAAGCGATTCGTTGAAGCGGTCCCGATCGCAATTCGTTTGGCCGTTTCGCTCTGGGCATCTGTTAACTTCTGGAAACTCGGTGCACACCTCCCGTAGATCGCGGCGTCACGGTCCATCAACACGAAGGATCTCCAACAACTTAACATAAAACCGTGAAGCCTCAATGGGTTTCAATGAATTGGGACGTAGCTCTTGGAAACAACAGCCGTTCCGCGTGATGCATCCCCCGAATTTGAAGCCCGACGTATTCACAATTGCCCGCATATTCTTCGAAACGTCAATTTCGCTTGAGGCATCCTTCAAATAATTGCTCCAGAACTTCTTTTCAACTGCAACCATAATAAGCGGAACATCCTCCTGGGTGACAAAACTCGAAGGTATGGCAACCCCACGTGCGTTCGAATGCGATCCCTCTGCCGCACCTCCTTCCAAACAACCCCTGTTGATCATCATCGTCTTCCCTGTGGTGTCCCACTGGTTCGATATATCCTTGCTCCTCACCCTCTGCCTCGGATCCGATTTCACGGCCCTGTGTATGCACATATCTGTGTGCATGTGAATATGTACACGTACTCCAATACTCGGCGGTGGACAAACCTCCCTTTAGTAAACCACCCTTTAGTGAAAACGGCCTAGGACCGAAACCGACGGAACTGGACTCGCAAAAATGACGGCTGCGACGCCCTCTCGCGAACCGAAAACAGCCAATTCGCTAATCGACGTGTCAAGGTAGGTCTATCATCATCCGACATACATGAATACGTGTATGGGTATATACATATATATATACATATATAAATATACACTCACTATTTGCAGGGGTTGAGGACTCCTGCAGGAAGAAATCTGAAGGCAAGATCCTCAGTCGACCTTGGACTGCGCAGAGCGCCCCCCAGTTCAAGCGCGTGCCTGGATACGTTGGGTGAGGAAACAACTTCTATGATAAGGACGGAACCGTAACGAACACAAATATAAAGACCGAGACATGTGTATAAATCTACATATATATACACACGCATCTTTCTATACATACACATATAGATACAGAGAGAGAGCAAGGGAGAAATAGAGAGAGAGAGAGAGAGACAAACAAAGCGATTACAAAGAAAGAGAGAGGTGGGACAAAAGACTCACCTCCCTCAGTAGCCTTTTCCGTCTCTTCGTTCTCTGTTTTGCAGGTCCCATGACCAAGGGACAACACACACCCATACCCATAGGGGGGTCGGCGGGAGGTGGACTTGCTATGGGTATGGGTGCGGGTTGTCGGACCGCGGGGGAGGCTCCCGTTCGAGCGAGGACCCCCATCTGACAACACGCACCCATAGCCCCCCCCGTCCTCCCTATGGGTATGGGTGCGTGTTGTTCGTTCGTCAGTCCCAGGCGATGCTGTGGCCAACCATGCGGTGACCCAGAAACGTACCGGAAACCTCACCGCACGGCTCGTCACCACACGGTTTTGGGACCCTGGGGGCCCCAAGCGCCTGGCACGCGCTTGGAGAACGACCCCAGCGCCGAAACCGCGCGGCCGCCCGGCATCTACACCGACGCACCACGCGGTGTGGTCCCCGCGACGCTTCGGTCGCCCGGTTCCATCCTCCTCCTCCTCCTCCTCCTCCTCCTCCTCCTCCTCCTCCTCCTCCTCCCTTTCCACCTCCTCCTCCCTTTCCTCCTCCTCCTCCTCCCTTTCCACCTCCTCCTCCTTTTCCTCCTCCTCCTCCTCCCCCTCCTCCTTCCCCTCCTCCTCCTCCTCTCCTCCTCTCCCCTCCTCTTCTCCTCCTCTCCTCCTCCTCCTCCTCCCTCTCCTCCTACCTCCTCCTCCCTCCTCCTCCTCCTCCTCTCCTCCTCTCCTCCTCTCCTCCTCCCTCCTCCTCCCCCCCCTCCTCTTCCTCCTCCTCCTCCTCCTCCTCCTCATCCTCCGTCCTCCTCCCCAGCTCTCCACGGCGGCAGCCGCTCCAGCCCCGCCGCCCCGCTCTGGCCTCGACGGCCTCGACGTCCTCCGGCTCGTGCGTCGTGCCGACCAGCATGGCCAAATGCCTGCCGCCCGCCCGGGGAGGGAGGAGGTCAAGGGGGACTGGGACACACAAATAAATACACACAACTCAAAAGATTCCCCATAGTTTCCTATATCTTTGGGTTTCCGTCTTCCCCCCCAATTCCCATATTTACCCATATTGTCTTGGGGATCGCCGATTAATTGTGTCTGTGTGTTTTTTTCCCTCCTGAGGAGGGGAGGACGACGGAGGGAACAAGGACTATGTTGCTCCCATCGTACGTAAGGACGCCATCCCAGAAATCATTTCGAGCACCCAGGAAAGTGCCGAAAGAGTGTGGAAAGAGTGTCGAAACAGTGTCGGCCGAGTCTCCCAGGGCCCGACACGCGAAAACCCTCGAGTTTGGAGGCATTTGCCTGGTGCTCGAAATTCACTATGGTGATCAAGGCTGAAATAGGTTGGAACACCATAAAACAAGGAGGAGGTCCTTTGCTCCGCAATCGCGCCCCCAGTCACAGTCCACTGCCATTGAAGTGCCAGCAACGCCGTGCACACATGCAGAGCAAAAACACGAGAGCGGCGGGGCGGCAGCGAAGGGGGGTGCGCGGCCGGCAATATTCGGGACCCCGCGGCGCGCGAGCGACAGGAGAGAGAGGAGAAACGGCCCGCGTTCGAAACGAATGGGCGCTTCCACTGGTCAGGACGAGGCCTGCCAGCAGAGGGGCCCAACTTGGCTTTGTCTTGGGGGTCTGCGCTATTGGGGGGGTAGTTTAGGGGCTGGCTCACGAGCAATCTTGTATTTCGCTTCCACGGCCTGCCGCACGCAGCGTTTGCCGCAATTGATTTGCATCTCGGCCCAGCTACCACTCATTATATCAGAGGACATTCGCAAATCGCAAACCGCCAATAACCGATGAATGGACGACTGAGGTAGCGGGCTTACGTTCAAAGCAAGCGCACTCACATAACGGCTTGCCAGGGAACTTCGGGGCTGCGCACGCGCGGCAATAGGCGTGCGAATTTCCATGCGTCGTTCGTGCGCCAACTCGTACACCGACCCCCCCCATCGCTTTTCACATTGATGTTGCTTCCCATGCGTTGCCCATGCTCCCGGGCGCATCGGGGCACCTAGGGCGCGATCGGAATCGCGCCGGCGCGTCGTCCGGGCGACTTGAGGCGACCCCTGGAGCCGCCTGAGGTCATATCGGCCGTCTTTGGAGACGTCTTGGGCGCATCGGACATCTGCGCGGCCCGAGCCCCCTAGCGACACGAGCAGCTATACTTGTACAAGACCACATGCTGCGACGCAAGCGAAACTCCGACATGTAAGGACTAGATGCAGGCATGCCATCAAACCCAGAACACACGCATGCCCCCGCTGCAAGATACCAACATGCAATGCAAATGCATACTGCGTGAAAGCGAACGCTACGCACATGCACATCCCCCCCCTCCCCCAAGTCAGACCGGATATCCTGGGAGAACGATTCCTCGGCCACGCGCGAACGCAACGCACGTTCGCAAACTACGCAGGTTGCAAGACCTGGCGGTGCCTGTCAGCGCCGCCCAGCTGGCCAACAAAGAAACGGGCTGGTGCAACGCTTGCGCGCGTCATTTTTCCAGGAACGCCACTCGCAGCCGAGCGGGCTTGTGGGGGCGCGCAACAATACCGTGCAATGAGCTTGCCTGACGCCTTATGTGCCCTGGTTGACCACAAGCAGTATATCAGAGTTGGGTTTGGAAGCCATACTACAAGGACGATGCAAGGCATGGCTTGGCTGGAATGCACTAGGCCTGGGCCTGACCCCAACAAGAGCGCTCGCGCGTGGCCAGCATGGAGCAGGCCCCAATCGCGAGCCACGCAGCGACCGAAGGTCTTCACCGTCCACGTCGTGGTTGCTCAGCAAAAAGCGCTGTCGCCATTCGCGCCGCCGCGCACATTTGCTCACCTCGCGGGGTAGCGCGCGCAACACGTGACTCCATTTATCTCGGCGTCGGCCGAGCGAAGTGCTGCGAATTGCCATGCGCAGCCCTCCGTCCTCGCGCGGAGCGCGAGCGATTTTTTCTAACTACAACAACGAAGCTGCTTGCTTGTCTCGGCGCACGCCGAGCGCCTTTTTCTCCTGTATCCAACAACCAGCCAGGGGCTCCTTGAATAGGCGGCAGCCGAACGTTTGCGGCGACGTGCAATCCGCTGCCCTCTCTCGCGAGGAGCGCGAAGCTTGTTCTCGGCGTCAGCCGATTTTTTGGGCGAGCATCACTTGCCAGCGACCCCCCTTCCCTTCGCGCGGCCGAGCGATTCCTGCCAATTGGAACTAGTTGCGCTCTTATCTCGCGCGGAGCGCGAGATGCTCCTACAAGGGTGCCAGTTGGCTCGGCGCCAGCCCAGGTATTTTGTGAACTCCAACAACCAAGGGGGCTATGGCGCAAGTCTGGAAAGCGCTGGGCCAACCTAGGCGCAAGGGTCTGCGAGGACCCGGGGCCGGCAAATCGCACGGTTTCCCGCAGGTCGCACCGGGCCCGCAAACCCGACAAGCCACATGGGCCCCACAGGCCCCGCAGGTCGCACAAGCCCCACGGGACCTATACGTCGCACAAGCCCCACGGTTCCCACATGTCGCACAAGCCCCGCGGGCCCCCACTTATCCCACAAGCCCCGCAGACCGCGGCGCGCGTGGGTCGGGGGCCCAGGCGCGCGGCCAGGCACCCGTGGTGCGCGAGGCTCGGGGCCTGCGACGCTCTGAACCGACCGAAGCTGAAGGGGCTCGCGGAGCTCGGGATCGACGAGGCTGCACGGTCTGCGAGGGCACGCCCTCGCTAGGCGCCACCAGTAATGCACGCGGGCGGGCGCGCCATGGCGCCCGCGGCGTGCGCGGGCGGGCACCCGCGGCAGAAGCGCCAGGGCGCGCCCGGGCGCGCATAGGCGGTGCTGCGGGTGGCCGCAGCCACCCGCACGGTTCCCACGCGGACCCCCGCGCCCCCCCACCCGGTGGCTCGACGCAGCCGCCCGCCCCGCAGGGCGGGTGGTGGGGAGAAACAGCTGTCAGGGCTCCCCCGGACACTCGGAAGTTTGTTTCTAAAGTGCGTCCTAGCGCTCGAGCACGGCAAGCGTAGACGCGAAAATGACTTGTGCGTTTTCTCGAAAGTGTGCCCGCGTTCGAAATCGCATTCTGCCTTTGCGGGCATGAGTGTCTCGGCGAGCGAGGTGGACTTTTGTTTTCCGGGCATGAGTGTCTCGGCGAGCGAGGTAGACTTTGTTTTTCTTCGACGTCGCAGTTTCGGAGGAAAAATGAAACGTACGTCGCAGTTTCGGAGGAAAAATGAAACGTACGTCGCAGCTTCGAGCCCAAATGGCGACGTCGCAGTTTCGGCCTCAAAAAAAAAGTTGGGCGCGCGAGGTGCCTCGAGTGTCCTGGGGGGCTTTTTTTTTTCCTGTGCGCGGAATGTCCGGCGCCGCGAAAATGCATTTTACTCCTATGCGTTGCGCGACGAAGCCCTCTCGAGACTCCGGTGGTTCCTCCGTCCAGGGCGTTCGAACGCGCGCGGACAAACGCGCCCTCTCGTTGGCCGCGACAGGCCGCAGGAGGCCGCGCGCCCGTGCGCGATGCCAACTGCACCGCCGTCCCTCCGCTTCGCGCGCTGCACGCCAGCGGAGTATGCGCGACCCGCAGCGCCTCCTCGGCCGGCGTCAACACGGCATCTCCAGCCAGTTCGCGCGCCCCCTGGCGAACCAGTCGAACCCGCCTTCCACGGGGCCGCCTCGCTCGCGGCGGCCCCGATGCGGGGGCGTGCTTTCGACTGCGCGCGACCGAAGCACAGATCCTGGACACCGAACCATCACGCCGCCATGGGTCCAGAAAAGAAGCGTGGGAGTGCTCTCGCTCGCGGCGCGCGCGCCTCGCCGTGCCTTCGCGCGCGCCAAGCCGTCTACGCAGTTCGCGCTGTCGTTGCCATTGGCCGCGCGCTCGAGGCCACCCGCGCGGCGCGCGGCATCTTCGGCGCATTTTCCAAGCGATGCGCGACTTGTACGCGTCGCGGCGACGCCCAGAAGTCGCCGCGCGCGCGCGCGACTGCGCGTCGCGCATTTCGCCGCGCGGTTGGCTTAGGACAACAGCGCGCTAAGTCGAAAATGGGAATTGAACGCGCGCCAAATGCCAATGTCAGTCCCCGGACCCGCGAGGCGAACTCTTGATTTGGGAACCGCGGACCTCGCTGCGCGGTCGACGCCGCGCGCGCGTAGCTCCTCGTGCCGGATTGAAAACGCCTCGCGCCCAGCTGACATCCAGGATCGCAAACCTGGGCGCCGGTTGTGCTTCCAAGCCAAGTTGGCAACTTGACCGCGCCGACAACGCAGCGCCTGCCATGGAAACGCCGCCAAGCGCGTTGCACCGTGCTTCTCTTGGCGAAACTGCGAAAACACACACACACACACACACACACACACACGCACACACACACACACACACACTTAAAGTTGCGAGTCGGGGCCGCGCTCGTTAAAGGCGTACTTCGGTCACCAGACAACCGAACTTCTTCATTCCTGCGAGGCAGACCTTGTCATGCACGCGCCGCCACGCGCGCCCTCTGTGCACTGGGCACCTCGTGTACATGTGGAAACCGCGCGTAAGTTGGCATCGGGAACGGACGACAGTCACTACATGGAACCATTCAGCTTTCAAAGCAATATGGCTCGATGAGTCTGTACGGCTATGTACAGGATGGCCGTGCGAGCCAGTGCGCGTGCGAATAGCAACAATAGCTTTCTTGCGCGCCAACGCAAAGCGCTAGTTATTATGACAGCGTGGCGACTTATGCGTTCCCACCCGGTGAAGACACCGCCGCGCGCGCACCGCCCACGTCCTGCGCGCTCGGTGCATACAAAGGGGGCGCAAAAACGTCATGTTAAATTCTCAAAGACTTTGGGCGCGAGAATGTAAGATTTGAGTTCCCGCGCAAAGGTGGCGACTTCTGCGCTTCCACTGCGCGCGAGCCTGCCGTGCAGGCGCGCTGATGCGCGCGCGGGCGACGCGCGTCACGCCCGAA